GATATGTCACTGCAAGTCATGCCATGAAAAGAAGATTGCAGTAGACTACAGACACATTTTGCTGGCTAATCATGCAACTGACCAGGAACTAACTATGCTGACAGCTTAGTCATCATACCTTTGTCTGTACAGAGGTAAGATACTTAAGATCTTACATTGACAAACTATTATTTCCAGCCCTCTGAATTGCAACAGTTTGGGATTTGTATACAGAAAACCGTTTTTCTCCCAGACAATTTTTAGTGAAGCTCACAATGAGAAGTTTGTTTTCGGTAGCAGAAAAGCCAGAATCCCTGTTCATTTCCCCTTAAAATGTAGGTGGCCTATACACATGCTTGTTGGTATTCTAATTGGAATGCATTGGAGTAGACTCAATTAATCGAGTCTGCTCTGCATTCTAATTAGCACTCTCCAGTGTCACTGCAGCATCATGCATTAAGCCCCTGCGTTTTTTAAAATGCCTGTGAGGGTGCTTTATCTAAACCTCATTAATGAGGTTTAGATAAAGTGTCCCGCAGCCATTTTTAAATGTGCCGGGGCTTAATACACAAGGTGAGGCATTTTAAGTAGAGCGGCTGTCCAAGAACTGCTCTAATTAAAATGGCCCTCCTCCATCCTCCTCCCCATGTATAGGCAGCATTAGGTCCCAGGCCAGTGAAATACTTACCCAAATGCTAAACCTTAAATACCCAAGCAGTATTATTAAAGCCTTTAATACTGGAGTATCTACAATGCATAGAGCTTTGCTGAACTGGGGCTTTATTAAGTAATTAAAATTCCAAGAACTTGGATTAATTGTTGGTGTAAGGTTCTTTGGGTAGATATGATATCTTTTATTAGACCAATTGGTGTGGTTTGGGTCTAAATGGATCCAGACCATGCCAGCACAAGAAATGCAAAATCTGCCAACACACCTCCACCACTCCCAAAGTAACCACACCACACAACAGAACCATCACCATTCCTGGATCTTACACCTGCACCTCCAGAAATGTTCTCTCTCATCCAGTGCACCAAATGCCCTGATGGAAAATATGTAGGAGAAACCAAACAACAACTGCACACTGGCATGAACACACACCAAAAATCCATCAAAGAAAAAAATATCCAGTTACCTGTGGGTGCCCACTTCTTACAAGACAATCATTCCTCCTCTGACCTCTCACTTCTAATCCTCAAAGGGAACTTACAAAATACCTTTCATAGATGAGCTTACAAACTTTACATGATAAATCTACTGGATACAAAAGATCATGGACTCAATATAGACATTGGATGCATGACATATTGCAACCTGCCTGATTTACCCCTGGCCCTACCATTCACAACACTTCCCCCTGCACTCCTTCCTTCTCTACCCTTTGTCTTCCTAATTTCCAGGTATTTACTTTTTCACAGACTGCCTTTTTTCTACCTTGGAGAACTCAACTACAGCAGAGTCTCCCTTGCCTACCTTTGGCATTATTTCCCCCTCATTTCCTGCCCTCACCTCCCTTCTCTACCTTTTGCTTTCCTAATTTCTACCTATTTATGTTCTCGCTAACCCCCTGTCACACTTTTTGCTTCTTTCATTCCTTGGAGATCTCAGAACAACAGCAGACACTCCCTGGGCATTTGTACACATACGTGTGGTGCATGCATTTGTGCATTTCACCATTTATACAAATGTGTGCACCACAGCACCAGGCATGTCAGCTCATGTGCAGAGCAGACTCGATTAATTGAGTCTACTCCGACGCTCCAGCATGTCAGAGCAGACAAACGTATATGTATAAATGCCTCTTATGCCCCAAGAAGGACACTTGTGCCCCAAAGCTTGCAAAGAACATTTTTTGAACTACTCAGATTGTCTAATAAAAGATATCACATCTACCCAAAGAACCTTGCCTACCTATGTCCTTGGACCAACACGGCTACAACCAAAACCCCCAGAACCTTCCAGTGGTACTCATTCAATGTTTTTGATTCCATATCATAACTATCATTTGGTTGCAAATCAGTGAATATGAATGGGCAGCCTGAAGGTTATTTGATTGCAACTGGGTGTGTTCTGCCTATGGAGTAATTGTTGAACTTACACCGAATACTTCAAATTCACTTACCAGATCCATGCTGCACAATCTGAATCAAGTCACTATACAGTATGATTCTGATTTTTTTGTATTGGGTAAAAGGAAGAATAAGAGCTTGAGCTAAGTGTCAGTCATAGTTTTAATTAGGAAAAACCAAAAATAGTTCTTTCGGAAATGAGCGGTCGTGATCATTACAGTATATGAACAAGGTCAGGCAATAGGACAAGCTCCGGAGTTAGAACATTTGTTAATTATACTTTTTGATTGCATTACAGTATTGCCATTTCTGCTGGTACTCTATTTAGTTAAGGGTCTCAGCATTTGAATCACATACACTTGTAGACAGCAGTGCTTTCTAACTTTGTCTGCAAATATTTGCATATGCTCTCAGCTATAAGTGAATTTCTCTACCATTTATCTCTCATTTAACACAGTTCTGCTCTGTTCATTTTTTTCTCACTTCTCTTCCAAAGGAAAGTGACAAAAAAAGTCAGCAATAACACATCAGAGAGAACTGTAAGACAAAACTTCCATTTCTTCCTTAATAATTTTATGTTAGAAAAAAATATATATATTTATTTTCTTGCTAAGGCTGTTCCAGAAAGGAGAAATGTATAAGGAATTGTAACTCAAACAAGGTGAAGTATTTTTGGTAAATTGTTCATTTGCTGGAAAATAGTTTCTGTCATTTCTGAATGATTTGCAATTTCTGATTTACTTAGTCTTTGCTGTTAAAAAACAAACAAACATAAATGGCTATATTTATTAAACTACTAAAGCAGGAGGGTCCCACTTCCATCCAATAGTTCACTGGTTAAGGGGACCCACCCAAAAGATGGGAAACTGGTGCTGAATTCTCTTTTTTGACTGAGGGGATTTGAATCTGTATCTTTTTCCTGTCAATAAAGTGTGCTAACCACAAAGCCAGGGGCCATTTTCTTGCATGCTGGCTCAGTGACCATTCAGTGTTTCAGATAAAGTGAATAGCTCCATCAGAAGGGTTTGAGGCAGACTCTCCACAAATAGGATGCCCTTCTGGGATGTTATCTTTTATTAGACTAGCAAAATTTTTGCAAAAAAAATCCTTTAATTGCCAGCTTTCGGGCACAAACACCCTTCATCAGGCATTGGAGAAAAGATGGTAATCTTTTACAATTTTAAGATTGTAATTTTAAAATGTTAAGAATAATTTAATTTTAATTTATTAAATAATTGGTATTAAATAATTAATTTAATTTTACAATTTTAAGATTGTAATCTTTTACAATTAAAAGACTACAGTTGTAATCTTGTTACAATCTTCTCTCCAATGCCTTTTTTTTTTGCAAAAATCTTGTTGGTCTAATAAAAGATATTGTCTCTACTATGAGTCCTGATTACCTTTTCCTCTAGATGAATACAGCTACAACCTGGATACCTTCTGAGATGTGGGAGACTTTTGATGCAGTCTTGCTCTGATTAGGTGGAGAGTGGATCTGAACTGTGGCCTCAGATGTCCCAGAAGAAATCCTAACTTTCAAACAACCAACCCAAAATAATTTGATTTAATCTAAGCTAATTAGTTTTATTCACTTGCCAAACCAAAAAAAACCCTCCTATTATTTGTATGGCCTACTTGTACCTTTTATACACTACAAGAGACTGAAATTTCTACATGTTTTTTCCTCTATGATTTAGAAGAAGATTCTGTTTAATAATTAATCTATGGTAATGTTCATTAGGGTAAATAAGCATTGCCATTTATACCAGTTGTGGATGTTTGTATATACTTTAACAATTCAAACATTCACATTTAAAAAGAGGAACACAGCAACTGATGAATCTATATAGTCCTAAGATTCAGGTGCTGATGTTATTTACAAGAATCAATAAGCAGGATATTAAGGTTTCTTGTTGATAATTTATATAAAGAGGTTTATCAGAAAGGTAATTTATCCTATGCGTGTACTTGCATACAACATGTATATACAAGTTTTAAAATTTTATCTAGCATCTGTAATAAATAGCCTTATAGAAGAACTGGGTCACAGGCTAAAGTGGACAGGAAATGTGTGGAAAATGTTAATTAAAAGAAGAGAGAGACTCAATGACTTAAAAGGCAGAGCTCCAAAAACAGTTGTGTGGAGGGATGCTGACCATAGAAGCCGACCAAGTTTAGTGTGGTGGCAGGGATAGAAAGGAACAAGCTCACTGACTTGCCTGGTTCTTCATAGGCAGACAAGGTTCTTTGGGTGAATCTGGTATCTTTTATTAGACCAACTTAAATAGCTGGAAAAAATGTTCTTAGCAAGCTTTCGGGTTTAAAAACCCTTTTAAGTTGGTCTAACAAAAGATATCATATTCGCCCAAAGAACCTTGTCTGCTTATGTCCCTAGACCAACACGGCTACAACCTACACCCCTGGTTCTTCATAGAAAAGCTTTAAAGCAAAGTCACCTCACTATGGAAGCAGATAAATGAGAAAGACAAAGGGAAAGAGCTGTGACCTGACATCACCAGGATTTACTCCTTCGTCTCAGAATGATTTGTCTTGATCTTGATCCAGCCTCCTCAGTCATCTGTGGAGTCATCAATGACTTCCCTGTTTATTGGAAGCCTGTCACCCTCATATTGAGGGACTGCCCACAACACACCTTCTTGAAAACGTGCATGACGACAAGCTATAGGTGAAGATTGGAAGATGAGACTGTGATCAAGGTAGGTTCAGGGTTTAAATGAGGAGCCTAATGTAGAACTGATCCATATAACTAGTAATACAGAAGAGCCCTTTCTAAAAGTATCTATTAGGGCAGAGTGGCTGTCTGATATAAGGACCTGCTGTTAGACTTATCAAATATAGCATAGGCCTGTATGGAGCACATTATAGTACTTCACTCTGCTCTTCCAGCTGTAAAGTGGCATCGTCACAAGCATCTTTCTCCTTTCCAGGGCCTGCCCAGTCCAATGCTGCGCTGTCCCTCACAGAGGCTCCTGGACAGAATAGTGAGACGTTACGCTGAAGTACCAGATGCCGGCAGCATCTATATGGATCACCTCACAGACCGAGACAAGCTGCGCCTCCTCTACACACTGTCTGTGAACACACACCCCATTCTGTTACAGGTATAGTGCCTCTCCTCGGGGTGGGATATTCTCCTGAAACCCACATCAAGATAACCCAGGAATGATGAATGTGGCAATCTCCAGGTGTTAAGGAGCCCCACAGGGTTTGTCACAGTTAGGCTTGGCATTATGGAGTGGCATGCTCTTTTATACCTGGTTGATCATTGAGGCTTAAAAATGATGCCAAGTCTGAAGTTTCAGACCTGCAATCTGGAGATGTTGAGCACTCACTGCACCCTCTGAAGCCAGCAAAAGTCGTGAGCTCAAAGAATCAGAACTTGCATAACTGAGCATCTGTAGAGCTTGTGCACAGATCCAGTGTGCATTACATTCCGATCGCATTGTGAATATGTTACATTTGGTCATAAATTGCTTGTAATGATTTAATGAGACAGGCCATGCAAAAATTGGGCAGAGTTACAGTGGAGCACTGCTGCTACACTAGTGCTTGACTTCTCCATCCTTAGTGCTGCCTGAGCCTTCTTTTAGCTATGCAACAAATATGTTAGAACTACGCCAAGGTTTAGTCTTGCATAGACAGTTGGTTGAATTACAGGCAAAACCTAATACAGTATTTCCTGGGAACTGCAAATCTACCCTTATGTCAGCTTTGGTATGATGAGATTGGTATTATCCTCTCCTCTTACTATAAGCCATTTCACAGAGAGAATATTTACTACCCCTCCATAGCACTGCCCACTTCTACTCAGCTTGGCAAATTCATACTAGCCTTTCCATTGTCCTTCTCCTCCAACCTGTCCTCTGGAATACTTTGCAGCCTCTTACAGACTCATTTCTCCCAGGTTGTTCCTTATCCTCCAGCCCCCCTCAGAAGTAATCTCCATAATCAGGGAAGACTACAGGATGGAGATCATTTCCAGGTCCAGATTTACAAATACATGCAGCACCAGCCATTTGTCATGTTCTCCAAGGGAATTTCTGGGGACTATTTGACGGCTGCTGAGCTTCTTTGAAAAAATGGCTGCCTCAAGCTTCTATTATTCCTTATTCCTTGGTCTGGTAGCCTATGTGACATTGGTCAGGTCCTCTTAGTACACTAGATGGTATAAACAAGGAACCACTTCAAGAATAAGCTTCTACCTTGACAAAGCTTCTTGATCCACTTGATATTTTTGGAGCTACAAAGTCTCACTTTACAAAAGAAAAAAAATGTCTGAATTCTTTTAAATGCCTTAAATGTCTTTGTAGAAAAGATTAACAAAAGCCTGAAGCAGGTACTGCCAAGGCCTCACCTGGAGTACTGTGTCCAGTTTTGAACACCATATTACAAGAAAGAAGTGAAAAGATTGGACAAAGTCCAGTGGAAAGCAACAAAAAATTATTGAGAAACAGGACTAATGAGAATAGGTTTGAAGAACTAGGGTTATTCAGTTTGAAGAAGAAAATACTGGGGGGGTGGGGTTGATAACAACCTTCATAGACGTGATGGTTAAGCACTGGAACAGATTACCTGGAGAGGCGGTAGAACTCCAGCTTTGGTAGATTTTAAGAGCGGGTAAGACAAATATTTATCTGGAATTGTTTAGACAGGGACTTGGACTAGATGACTTGTTGAGGTTGCTTCCAGCCCTGTTTTGCTATGGTTAACCACACAGAACTGAAATATTAGGACAGCCATTCCTTTAAAAGCAGAAGTCTTTCTCCAACACTTGTTTTTGAGTGCATTAGGGAGACAAAAACAAGTTAAAATAGAGTGGAAAGAGTAACAATCTAACTAAAATATTTGTTTTATGAGAGTTTACGAGAGAATGAGATTCTTAAATTGATGTGATGTGAACACATATGGGATAACTGCATTAAATGAAGTCTAAGGCGTGAAGGTAGAATTTTGATGCTTTATCACACAGCCTTGTGTTGCTCTCTCTCTGCAACAGGAAAGTATTTTATAAATGGTTCAGAGGTTTTTTTTTCAAATTACTGAAACTATTTCTGCCCTCCAGCCCCACTCTACTCAAGTCACCATGACTTCAACTGTATGGGACTCAGGAGGAGCCATCAAAACCTCCATAAATAACCTAAAATAAGCTCTCTCTCAGCCTAAAAATTTCATGACTTTAAAGTCTATTATTATCTTGGCCTTTTCAGTGAGTTTTGAGTCTCCCTTTCTTATGAATTTAAAATGTTAAACTCTAGAGATAGCAGACAATGGATTCATTATAAAAAAAACAAAGCTGATCCAAAAATGAGCATTATCTACTGTGCTGTGCCTCACTTCAAGGGAATTTTAGAAAAGTAACTCCCTAAGGGATAACGAACAAAAAATATTTTTTGTGGCAGGTTAATTTTAAAAGACGCAAGCATCTCTTGGAAACATCTCAGGGCTCTGGAATCCTGAAAGTTGGGTACACGGATAAAGTGGGCAAAGGGGAAGTGAAATGACCGAAAGTGTATGATAAGTATATCACGTGCTTCTATTATTAAATGGTCCTGTGATAAAGATTTCTCTCAGAGTTATGTGTGTACACATGCATGGTTAAGGAGAGCAGACATTGTAGCATCTGGTATGTCTAGAAGTCCCAGTCCAAACCCAAACATTCAAAAATCCTAAGATGGGCCCCCAAATTCATGAGTTTGGCTCAAAAATCTTTGAGACTTTGGTTCCTTTTATTTTTCTTCAGAGTTTTTATGTCCTTAAAAGTACACTGGTATCGCTTTTTCATGGTCCTGTATAACACCATGAGGAATGGAAATCATTATTAAAAAGAAAAAAGAAAAAAAGAAAAAGCAAGCAAGCAAAGATTCATACCTATTCCACAATTTCAGAACCTAGGGCTTTAAGAGAATATGCTGATTAGATGTGTGGTATTCACAGACCCTTACAACACTGGGTGTGGTTGAAGGAAGGAGGCTAGACCACAGTATTGCCAACCCTCATCCTTCAGAATTGGAGATGCAGGAGCATTTAGCCACTTTATAGAAAACCATAAGCAGATGGTTGATTTTCATTTGTCTTGAGGGGTCATATTTTCTAGATTCCTCTGGAGCCATGACAGCTAGGAGCCCCCCCGCTTTTTTTTAAGCAAGAACCTCAACTTCCAAGTAATAACATGATTCTACCCAGGGTTGGTGTTTAAAAAACAAAATTGCAAGACTTGTCATCAAAGCATAGGAGTTAGCAACACAGCCCCTTAAAAAAATCCAACAATTCTGTCATGCAGTCAGAGCCTAACCAGCAGAGCCTGCTAATTGAGAGCTGGCAACAGGAAGCACCACTCCCAAGAATGCTTACAGTTCCCCTTCAACAACTTTCTCAAACTATATCCACCCACCTGCATCCTAGGAAGGGAAGGAGGGGAAAACCGATACAACATCCCTGGCTCATACTGCACGTACACACAGAAACACTCTGCACCTGCATATAATCACATACACACGCCATCACTGGAAATACCAAAGTATCTATCATATTCTTTTTTTCCCCACAGATTTTCCCAGACGTGGAGGGGTGGCCATTTCCAAGGTATCTGGGATCCTGTGGCCGGTTGATTGTCAGTGCCAGCACCAGGCCCTTGAGGGAGTTTTACAGCTCTTCTCCTGACGTGGCAGCAGACCTGGCCTTCCAGCTCCTCTCTGTTGTCAGTTCTATGGGGAACAATGACTTGAACTACTTATTTTATTTCATCCGTGTTGATGCTAGCACATTTGGCATTTTTAACAATGGACATCTGTTCATCCGGGATGCCAGCACACTGGGAATCATTGACAAGCAGGAAGGTACTCAGCATGTTGAATGAATAAGCATCTGTCACAGGCCACAGCAAGATAGGTGGAGGGAGGTAGGGGGAATCTTTCACCTGTTATGCTGGTATATTTTTGTTTTGGGTTTGGCTTGCCCTTTTTTTTTTCTTTTAACCGCAAGAAATGCTTCATAAATTAGGTCATAAAAACTTTGAGAGGTGACAGCAAAAACATAACCAGGTCCTGCCATGCCTAACTCTGCTTTTGGAATAATATACAAGTTCTACTTGTGCAGTTCAGGGTGATGGTGCCGTGACTACGCTGTATTTTAAAATGTGTCTAAAGCAGCCTGCACAGAACCACATGGGTAGCTTCACATTTATTTGGCCATTTCCATGACCAGCCACAGTAGACGACACAGCAGTATTTTCATACTAATATTTAACAGTCCCTTGGTCATTTTTTTGGCTTGAAACATAGTGGGTGTCACAAAAAAGTAAGTTAGCAGGTAGAAATGTAAGCAAATTGTTTTGATTTTAGGCCACTTTATCACTTTTACTTTTAAAAAATATATATTAACAAAGGAAACACCATTTTTGCCATTTGTTCTTATTTTAAGCTCCATTTTTCATCACACAAAATATTCAGTAAGATACCAGTGGAACAAGAACTGGTCCAAGAGTAGTAAACCAATTAAGTTAATAATTTTGTTTTTTTAAATAAATACTCAATTTTTTAAAAGCCACTCTGCTTCTGTAGCCAGCTGAATAATTCCCAAATATTCATAACTTGATATCAATTGCATTAAAAAAAATCTTACAGTTGCCATTTTTTTCACTAATGCAAAATCATTGATTATATCTTAATGATTTTTTATTAGGTGGAAAATTGAGGTCTTGACTATTTGTTGTGTTTTTTATAGTAACATTACACACACTTCAGCTCAGTATTTATATTCTGCCCAACTAAATTCCTTTGCTATTTCATTACTTGATCCTTCCTATCTGCAAAGTAGAATTCTGGGGTAATATGGAGTACTTATTTATTTATCAAGAGCATATCAGAAGTGAGAGAAATAGTCCACCCTACTTTGGGATGAAATGTGCTGATTTAATATAGGTTATATTGGCATAAATAAGCAGCATACCATGATTTTAAGTGACATTTTCTAACCAAGTTACAAATGTTCATGATTATGAAAGATTTGCATGGGTGTTTCTAACAAATATTTTAATTTTCTTTATTAGGTAGCCAACTGACTGATGGCCAACAGGAATATAGAGACATATTTAGCTGTTTGGCTTCAGACTGCCAGTCTACATTTCTGTCCTGTAAAACAGTCAGAGAGAACCAGAATTTCATTATGGTATGTCAGGAAATTCTGCCTAAACTCCTGAAGGGAAAATTCCTTCAACCTGTTCAGGAGAAAATAGACAGCTTCCTAAGGCATTGTGCAAACAGCTTCCTGGACAGCCAAGAGGTCAGTGATGCAGCTACAAAGTTGATGGAGTTCTTGAGACCTTTGCGATCTTGTGATTCCCGTTTTGCCTATCGCTACCCTGACTGCAAGTACAATGACAAATATTAGCTGCTGACAGGAAGCTCCTACTGGAAAGACTGGAGTAGTGTGTCACAATTCGGCTATCTCAAAGAGTGAAAGAGTTTCATTAGGCAGCTGAAAGGATTCATAAAAGCCAAGGCTTCCTATGTGACAGAGAAAGATGAAAGATAACATGCCTGGGGTTTACATCAGAACTCAAAGATGGCATGTTTATGACATTTGTATATTTGGTGCAATCCAAAGGCCTAAGTGTTAAAACATCATTGTACATGATGGGGGTTAAAAGATTAATACAATTTGTTCACACATTTTGTTCCTAAAGGAATTTTCCATGGCAGTCATAAAAAAATTAAATATTAAGGCATTTGGGTTATTACTAGATGGAATAGGTTTATTGCAGATTACATCCCTCTGGTCAAGCTTAGTGATCCAAGGCAGGTAGACACTTCCTACAAGGGAGATAGAATCTTTTAAGACTTCCCTTGCAGAGATTTTTTAGTGCCATTAAAATCATATCTGATCAGTTTGCTACTATTAACAATCACAACCAATCTTTGAATTTTTTTTAAATTTCACAACTCCTGGTGACTCCCTTGGACTCCCTTGGAGTCACCAGGAACAATGGCCACAAGCTGAGGGAGGATAGGTTTAGGTTAGATATCAGGAAGAACTACTTCATGGTAAGGGTGGCCAGAGCCTGGAATAGGCTTCCCTGAGAGGTGGTGCTCTCACCTTCCCTGGAAATCTTCAAGAGGAGACTGGATAGGCACCTGGCTGGGGTCTTATGACCCCTGCCACCCCCAGTGCTCCTTCCTGCCCATGGCAGGGGGTCAGACTAGACGATCTGTCCAGGTCCCTTCCGACTCATTGATTCTATGATTCTATGAACTTTTATCTGATGTGGGTTGGAAATAAATAACAGATGGCATTAAAAAATGAAAGTTCCTATTTCTTCAGATGTAACTTCTATAATCCCCAATATCATTGCTTTTAATCTTTAGTAGATTAGGAAACACTAATGGGAATTGAACAGATACTCTCCATTTAAAAAAACAAACAGTAGAGCTGATTCACCAAATGAATATTTTCATTTTTCTCTCACTACAGTTACATAAAACTGTCACAATTATATTACTTTATATCATAATCATATGTGTGTGTATATATATATATATATATATATATATATATATATATAAAAACCAGTAGATGAGAGACACTGTGAATCAGCTTTCCATTAGATGCAGTGAGGACAATATAGCCTCACTCGTTTTAAGATGAAGCTTGAACTATGCTGAGGACCACCTAGGTTCATATTGGTCTTTTTTTGCTTAAAAACCTCACCTCTTTGTGCAAAATTGCTTTTCTTATGGAAACTATGGTTTAACTCAGGGGTCAGCATCCTATGGCCCAGGGACCAGACTTGCCCACAAAGGTCCAATCCAGCAAAATGGGGGTGGAGAGGAGAGGGGGAAAGGGGAAGGAGAAAATCTGTGACATGAATTATATACCCTGGTACCCATCCCCTCCACAGCACTCCCCTCTGCCATGGAGCTTGCTGCTCTACAACATCTGTGCTTACCTTGCTCCAGAAGGGATGGGGATCAGAGGTCAGGGTAAGCACAGGGAGCCGGTTGCTCCAGGGGCTTAGGAACATGTAGCCCATGGCTGGGGTTGGGTCACAAAGGGCAGGCCATGCCAGCAAAATGTTGCCAACCCCTGGTTTAACTTAATGAATGCATACCTTGGCAGAAGCATTGACAGGCAACTGATTCATCTTCACCATACCCCTGTGAAGTGCTACTACCCTACCTCTACTGAAGATGAACAGATGCACACAGGACTAAATCCACAAAAGCACTTAGGCACCAGAAGGGGGCCTTGAATATAATTTAGGCACCTAAATCTAACAGCATGATCTACATAAGACCTCACCTAACCTCTTAAGCCCCTGAAGGTCCACAGGCACCTACAGTAATGCTGCTCGGGCCCTGAAATATTAGCTGAGGTCAGCTGCTCATCACGCATCTCACACTGAAGCCTGTTTGGGATTCACAAAATAGATATCCCAGGATCTAAGCTGACCATACCTAAGATACACCAACAGCTATCAGCTGAAAAGACAGCACAGGAGTCCTTGCCACTTCCATTAGTAATATGGCTGAGGGAGAAAAGAAATGTATATAATAGCCTAGTGGGTAGGCCAATCACAGAGCAAGTGGGAGACCTAGGTCCTTAGGCCCTTGAAGGAATCCAAACCCCTCTTCCCACTTCCCAGAGGTGGCTTAATCATTAGCTAAAGGCTGGGATGGAGCCATTCTTCATCTCTCCTGTTGAAACTTTGCTACCACAAGCCACAAATATAAGACTCATTGGGTTAGAGAGAGAGCAAACAAGAGTGAACACAAGTGCATAACCTAGTGGCAAAGGCATACCTCTGAGAGAAAGAACTGACTTCTGGTCCCTGTTCCACATTTTTGTCCAATGATTCTTAAATGCAAAATGCATGAGCAGTATGCTGGGCATGGAGTGGAATCAAGGTCTCCAGGCAAGTTAGGGCACTCTTCTGGGAGGTGGATGATGTAAGCTTGCGTCCTTTCATGCAGGAGGGAGATCCATTTCCTGGGTGAGTGCCCTAGCCACTTGGCTATTAGGTAAAGGGTCCCCACAAGCATGAGTGGTAGCACCTCTTTCTCTAGCTACCTTCACAAAGGAAGGCAAGTCAATCATCTGTGCCCAAAGAAGCAACTTAGTCCAGGATAGAAGCAAGGTTTTAAACATCTCTCTGTCTCTGGCAATCCCTATTAGCTGCTTAGTCAACCCCTCTAGCCCCCAGCAAAGCATATAGCCTAGTAAATCCTATTCTGAGGCATTTAACTCTTTGCTGCCTAACTCAGGTTTGTGAATCCAAAGCCAGGGATGATGCACTTACAAGTTAGGTGTAGTGACACTGAGCATCTCCACATGTAAGTCCTGTTGAGGATGTGGACCACAGAGAATAAATGACTTACCTGGGGTCACACAAGAAGTGGGCAAAATAAAGAACTGAACTTAGATTTTTTCTGAGTCCAGGTAAGGATTTTTCACCACAAGACCATCCTTTCCTAGCTGTGGTTTGAAAAAGATCAGTCATGTACATGTCCACAAAAAGAAGCGACTGCATTTGTGCATTTAAATTACATGGCAGGTTATTGTAAGCATGCAGGCAGATCAGACATTTGTGTGAGCAGGAGTGTATATAACTTCCTTTGTGTGTGTAGATTGCCACAAGTGTGGAGCAAAGTATCATATTATAGACACGGGTTAGGCTTGCAAATTATATGCCTCATCCTGTGAAAATCAGACCTGGGATTTTTATTTCAATTTCTTATTATCACAAATGGATCAAACTATCAAGTGCACTTTTCACCTCTCAAGAAGTGGAAACATTTTAAAATAATCGGAAGGCAAATTTAGCTGTGGGCCCAGATGGTGTCTCAGCAGAAATGTTTAAATATACAGTATAAGCTATTGTTACAGTTCTCTTTCATGATTTCAATCTATTTCTACCCTATGGCTGTGTTCCAGTAAGAAGAAAGTGCTGTTTGCCTAAATCTGTAAGACTGATGAGCAATCTGTTTCCAACAGTTTGTCTTCAGCACATTTTGCAGTCTATAATTTCACATGAAAGTCAGACATCATATTCAGTACTTTCCCCCTCCCCGAGCATCAATAAAAATGTCTCTTGTGCTAGGTTAGAGCAAGTACTTGCCTTGTCATCCTCTACTCAGGGGACAGGACATTTAAAAAGGGAAGTAAAATCTTTTTTAAGTTTTATCAGAAACACTTAGTTGCTACCAGTGTAGATAACACCAGGTCACTAGTTACCTGGTACCCAACTACCAATGACACTAAGCCCTGTTCAGGACATTACAAATAGACTAGAGTAGGACAAGCTACACGATATAAAGGAAGAGCTCAGACAAAGTTCTTGGTAGGTCACCCTGATGAAGGGTGCCTGTTCCTGAAATCTTGCAATTAAAGAATTATTTTTTTTTGCAAATATCTAGCTGGTCTAATAAAATATTTCACCTCTGCCATGAGTTTTGATTCCTTTTGGTTAGATCAGACACACTCAACCAGATATAATTTCCAAATCATAAGATGATGAAAAGCTCCTTGTAAAGTCATTCTGTGACTTGAACTGACTACTCCAGCCTGTGGTCAGCAGCACTATATTTGCATATTCTCTTTATGACCTGGTAATTACTTGACCTGGTCTCAAACAACAGCCAGTAGCTGCAGCAGTGATGGGCTCCTAGTTTGCTTGTACCACTCCATTGTACTTTTTTAATCCATGCAGATTTCTCTAAGGCAAGCGACTGGTTTATTGCATAGATTTGGGCAAGCCTTTCAAAAGTGATCTGTGATCACCAAGCATAACTCCAAGCCTTCAAACCAGTCATATTGCAAGCATATACCAGTGTGTACAGTGTGAAGAACCACAAAAAGGGAATCCGTACCTTTCAGGGCCAATCTTGCATCCATTAAAATCATGGGGAGCTTTTCCATTTACTTCAGTGGGTGCAGCATAAGCTTCCTATTTGTTACTCTGGGTTCATCAGTATCCTGAAACACAAGACAAGATAGAAGAAATAAAAGGACAAAAATCACCTTATATTGTCAAATTCACAACTGAATCTGTAAGGAAAAGAAGTTTTAAGGCATACAGCATATGTTCTAATAGGGCTTGTTCCAAATCCACTGAAGTCAATAGGAGTTTTTCCATTGACTTCAATGGGCTTTGATTCAGGTTTTGCTTGACTTTACTTAATAGAGACTAAAAATGTAACAAAGCAGTTGATGAAAAAAATAGTAATTGGAGCTGTGTTCCCAGTCTTTCTTCAAGTGTGGCTTGGAAGATTGGAGTCACATAAGAATAGGTCTGTGATGTGTCAGCCACAGAATTAGTTTATGGCTTGGAGAGCAATCATTGTCCTATGCTGAATCTCAGATCTCCAAGCTGTGTTTCTTTGCTTTTTTGCTTTTTTTTTTTTTGACATTGCCAATTTTTTTTGGCAGTCAGATCAAGGAATCACTGCCCACCCTGTCTGGTTCTTTAGAAACTATTTCAATCAGGCCTAGAAATACTAGTAAGACAGGCTCCAAAAGGTTGTGATATTCAGTTATAAATGGCAATTATTTTAAACCAAACCTCTCCCAAGAGCTCTCTCTCTAGTGATTTTTTTCTTCAATGTTGAGTTATTTTTGACAGTGGGTTTGTGCTAGTCTTTACAGATTGTTCCTGACACTAGTTTAAAATGTGTTTTGTCCTATAAGAAGCTACTGTGGTCTCCAGACTGAAATAAGACACACA